GGCGAAGTCACAACAACCTGCCACAGGTGGAAGTCACAACAACCTGCCATAGGGGAATCCCAACAACCTGCCAAGTCACAACAACCTGCCACAGGTTGAAGTCACAACAACCTGCCACAGGGGGAAGTCACAACAACCTGCCACAGGTGGAAGTCACAACAACCTGCCACAGGTGGAAGTCACAACAACCTGCCACAGGTGGAAGTCACAACAACCTGCCACAGGGGGAAGTCACAACAACCTGCCACAGGTGGAAGTCACAACAACCTGCCACAGGGGGAAGTCACAACAACCTGCCACAGGGGGAAGTCACAACAACCTGCCACAGGTGGAAGTCACAACAACCTGCCACAGGTGGAAGTCACAAATTTGAACAGCAAAAATGTAATGCAGTTACAGTAAATGATGAAAATAATTGCAACAAACAGTCAAAATAAACAGCTGAGTTTGGACAAAGCAGAAACTGAAGTAATAGTGGTTACAAGAAACCACATCTTCCACACTGCAACAACAACAAAAGTAATGGGACTATTCTGGAAGCCATATTTGACACAAGATGTGTGTCAACAACACCAGGCATACTGAAGACAAAGCCTTTATCAACCGTACACGACAGACTGGAGATACATCTTACCTCAGCCGATAACTTCTTGAATGCTGGAATCCTCCAGGAATGGGCAAGCTTCTTGTTTTTTCTGCAAACATCAGACAGATTCTAACAAACATGTACAAGGCAGTCCAGCTGATATGAGAGAATTTGGTAACATCTGCCAAACTCCAGTTTGACCAACAAGACAGCCCAGATTATGTCGGACAAAAAGAAGAAATCTGGCCTAAAAGAGGTTGCTGTGTGGCAAGTCAAGTGGTCTCTGAGTGTCTTCCTGGCAAGCTAAACATGTGTGTCTTCATAGTAAATGATCTGGATATGCATCTGTCTAGTGTCCGAAGCTTCCACCTTGCAGTATTTCTTGTTACCTACAGACTGCACACAAGCAACGCTGAGACAGGCACTTGGTCACACAAAGACACCATGCTGTTTGCCATGCGCCCTGAAGGTCTTGGTTTTGTTTAATGAACACACTGTTCCGTTCATGAGTAATATTTTTACAGATTCCTGGGGATCAATGCTGGAGCTACGGTGTTCATGCTTTGTGTAACACTCCCAGCAGATGGCTAGCTGTTCAGTGGAAAGAGACCAAACCATATAGAATAAGCCAGGGTAATGAAGTTGATTTAACTAAGACAGCAAAAAGATAAATGTGTTACAAATGAATCCGGTCAGCCTGATGAATCCTAAATGAGGATGTTATCAGCTGTACACAGATCATGAGATTTCTTTATGCTATAACTGACCTCATCATCATCATGTAGCAGGTCCTTTGCAAAATGTCACTCTCCATCACGGTCTAAGTGAAAGAAACTGTGTGTCTCGCCAGCTCTCCTGCCTCACGCACTGTCATATCTAAGAATCTTCACGTTAGTCATCCCCTGCCTCTCCTTCCTGATACCATGCCTTGTGCTATTTTTTTGTCCACAACGGACATCCGTGTGTTGCTACATTAAAGATGCTGGGAGATAGTCCACAAGTGACATCCGTGTGTTGCTACATTAAAGATGCTGGGAGATAGTCCACAACTGACATCCGTGTGTTGCTACAGGAAAGATGCTGGGAGATAGTCCACAACTGACATCCGTGTGTTGCTACAGGAAAGATGCTGGGAGATAGTCCATAACTGACATCCGTGTGTTGCTACAGGAAAGATGCTGGGAGATAGTCCATAACTGACATCCGTGTGTTGCTACAGGAAAGATGCTGGGAGATAGTCCACAACTGACATCCGTGTGTTGCTACAGGAAAGATGCTGGGAGATAGTCCACAACGGACATCCGTGTGTTGCTACATTAAAGATGCTGGGAGATAGTCCACAAGTGACATCCGTGTGTTGCTACATTAAAGATGCTGGGAGATAGTCCACAACTGACATCCGTGTGTTGCTACAGGAAAGATGCTGGGAGATAGTCCACAACTGACATCCGTGTGTTGCTACAGGAAAGATGCTGGGAGATAGTCCATAACTGACATCCGTGTGTTGCTACAGGAAAGATGCTGGGAGATAGTCCATAACTGACATCCGTGTGTTGCTACAGGAAAGATGCTGGGAGATAGTCCACAACTGACATCCGTGTGTTGCTACAGGAAAGATGCTGGGAGATAGTCCACAACTGACATCCGTGTGTTGCTACAGGAAAGATGCTGGGAGATAGTCCACAACTGACATCCGTGTGTTGCTACAGGAAAGATGCACGCTCTCAACAATCTGACTATGATCTGCTTGCTGGTGCTTAGTCACACATAGACGTTTGATGCTGTTAATCTTTTTACTGCTCGTCATTCTCCTTTTAACTTTCGTTGAACAGTCTCTATTTTAACTTCTGTCAAACAGTCTCCATTTTAACTTCTGTCCAACAGTCTCCATTTTAACTTGTCAAACAGTCTCCATTTTAACTTCTGTCGAACAGTCTCCATTTTAACTTGTCAAACAGTCTCCATTTTAACTTGTCAAACAGTCTCCATTTTAACTTCTGTCAAACAGTCTCCATTTTAACTTCTGTCAAACAGTCTCCATTTTAACTTCTGTCAAACAGTCTCCATTTTAACTTCTGTCAAACAGTCTCCATTTTAACTTCTGTCAAACAGTCTCCATTTTAACTTGTCAAACAGTCTCCATTTTAACTTCTGTCAAACAGTCTCCATTTTAACTTCTGTCAAACAGTCTCCATTTTAACTTCTGTCAAACAGTCTCCATTTTAACTTCTGTCAAACAGTCTCCATTTTAACGTCTGTCAAACAGTCTCCATTTTAACTTCTGTCAAACAGTCTCCATTTTAACTTCTGTCAAACAGTCTCCATTTTAACTTCTGTCAAACAGTCTCCATTTTAACTTCTGTCGAACAGTCTCCATTTTAACTTCTGTCGAACAGTCTCCATTTTAAATTCTGTCGAACAGTCTCCATTTTAACTTCTGTCGAACAGTCTCCATTTTAACTTCTGTCAAACAGTCTCCATTTTAACTTCTGTCGAACAGTCTCCATTTTAATTTCTGTCAAACAGTCTCCATTTTAACTTCTGTCCAACAGTCTCCATTTTAACTTCTGTCCAACAGTCTCCATTTTAACTTCTGTCCAACAGTCTCCATTTTAACTTCTGTCAAACAGTCTCCATTTTAACTTCTGTCGAACAGTCTCCATTTTAACTTCTGTCAAACAGTCTCCATTTTAACTTCTGTCAAACAGTCTCCATTTTAACTTCTGTCAAACAGTCTCCATTTTAACTTCTGTCAAACAGTCTCCATTTTAACTTCTGTCAAACAGTCTCCATTTTAACTTCTGTCAAACAGTCTCCATTTTAACTTCTGTCGAACAGTCTCCATTTTAACTTCTGTCAAACAGTCTCCATTTTAACTTCTGTCAAACAGTCTCCATTTTAACTTCTGTCAAAGTCTCCATTTTAACTTCTGTCAAACAGTCTCCATTTTAACTTCTGTCACACAGTCTCCATTGCCATTTATTATAGAGCCCAGATTTTCAAATTTCGTGAGATTTTAATCTTCTTCATCTCTGATTATTATCTTTAAGTGGCATGCAGTTTTATCTGTGGATACTATTTTTGTTTTCTATAAATTGAGAAAGCAACAGTCAACTACAAAAAGAGAGGAGGTTTTGCTGACCTGTCCAAGCTGCCCACCGGCCGGCCTCTACCAGAACAACTGGTGGATTTCTTGGGCTGAAACTTCTTCCTCCTGATGATTCGACCCCGGGACGACAACCTGATCCTGTCGAGAACTACCCCACATGGTGAAATCCTGCCTAAAGAATTATTCTCGTCAACATGTTCCTTGTTCTTGTCAGGCAGTTTGTTCTTCTCAGAGACCATCTTGTCACTGGTCACCTCAACCTTGTTCCCTTTGTCCTTGACCCGTCTCACGCTCTCTGGGAACACAAACAGGTCAAAGTTCATGATTTATGAGTAAACTGATTGAAAGTTTATGAGTTATGAGTAAACTGATAACACACACGTCAAAGTTCATGAGTTATAAGTTACCTGCTAACACACACATCAAAGTTCATGAGTTATGAGTTAACTAATTACACACTAGTAAAAGTTCATGAGTTATGAATTAACAGATAACACAGGTCAAAGTTCATGAGTTATGAATTAACGGATAATACACAAGTCACAGTTGATTAGTTGACTGATAACTCACAGTGAAAGTGTTATTTACTTTCAGACCAGTCAAAGGTCATGTAATGTTGTTTAAAATTTCACTTGCTGATTTATAATTAACTAACACAAGGGAAGCCAGAGATGGCAGCACTGTAACCTACCATGCATGTCATCAGAGGCAACGAGGAAGGTTGGTCATGGGACTGGACACCACATCCTGTTGACAACGTGAGGTTACTTTATGCATGATTGAAACTGCTCCCTATCTTAGCCTTGGCCTGCTGTAAACTCTGGCAGAAAGGTCGGACTGTTGGGCCACTTCTGGACTTTATTCTCGTTCCAGAACTTGAATTGTATGTGTACATTTGTTTTACAGGTCTGGTTTATTTATATGCAGACTGCTGGTTCATTGTCTCTAAGGAAGCTGCACCCTGACTTTGAAAAACCACACCACTAGTTAGTCACCTTTTACAACATGATTGTCTGGGGGGGAGGGGGAGGGGGCAGTTAGTCTATTCCCTCACCCCCTTCCCTAAAACATGATTGTCTGGGGACCAGTCAGTCTATTCCCCCATACATGATTGTCTGGGAGCCAGTCAGTCTATTTCCCCCATACATGATTGTCTGGGGGCCAGTCAGTCTATTCCCCCATACATGATTGTCTGGAAGCCAGTCAGTCTATTCTATTCCCCAGTCTATTCCCCCATACATTATTGTCTGGGGGCCAGTCAGTCTATTCCCCCATACATGATTATTCACCCTAAACATGGGGCCAGTCCAGTCAGTCTATTCCCCCATACATGATTGTCTGGGGGCCAGTCAGTCTATTTCCCCCTAACATGACTGTCTGAGGACCAGTCAGCCCCCCCCCCCCCCCCCCCCCCCCCCCCCCCCCCCCCCCCCCCCCCCCCCCCCCCCAGGCCCACCCCCCCCCCCCCCCCCCCCCCCCCCCCCCCCCCCCCCCCCCACCCCCCCCCCCCCCCCCCCCCCCCCCCCCCCCCCCCCCCCCCCCCCAAATGGAGCCTGGAACCCACACAGGAAACTCCTACTACAAAGTGTACAGCTATCACTGTCTTTCCCGTCTGCCGACAAACATTGTCAAGTAGAAGTGATCAGTGGTCACATGAGTCAAGAGTGCCACCGACTATTGCTGTTTTGTGTGAATGAATTTCTTAAATGATGACAAGGCATCTTCTCGGGCAAGGTCTCTAATCTACAGCAGTCAGACTATTACAGACATGTTATTCATTGACTTTACGGATAAAATAATGATCTCTACTGTTCACACACACAAAAAACATTGACAGTGAACATTTTAGATACATTTTTTGTATTTCTCATCTATTTTCATTTCAAGTTCTCTGTTTGTAACATCATAAATCCATAATTTGCTTTTTAAAAACTGCTGTTATCTACAGAAATGTTAGCTTACCTACTATCTCTATAAAAACAGAATGTCTTTGATATGAATCCTACCTGGCAATGAAACCTTGATCTGTTTGAAAGACAGTTTTGCCTTCGGTGCTGGAGGGACCTCAATAGGCACCGTTTTCTGACAGGTGATCAAAGAAAAGGAAAAAAAGCAAACATTAACTGTGGAGGAGATAGATGCCTCTAGAATATTACTATGTGACAGTGCCTAAGGTTACTGACCCATGCAATTCTGTCTGTCTTCACAGTTCAATAAAAAAAAAAAAGGTATTTTGAGATTATGCGGAAAAACAAGGAATATAAATTCATGTCAACATGCACCACCCCAACAAAGTACAGGCGGTGTTGTTTCACTATCTCACCCGATCACCAGATTCACTGCTCACGTCAGTGTTCTTGTCTTACCTCCATCCATATGGCAAAGCCATCCTGGTATTTATCTCACTGACTTCCCTTTGCTCTTTTTCAAATCAATATTGCAAGTCGTCACCAAGTTCTGGAGCCTGTTCCTTCCTGTAACGTGCCTAACAAATACTGACTGTCTACATCTTTTTTTCCCCTATCAGGTTTTCATCTGCCTCAAGGAGTGCTGCCTTATCTGTTTCTCTGTCACTCCCATTATATTTCTGGTGTTCTTCTCAAACATCCCCTCTCCAGCACGAGTAAAAGTTGTCCAGCTTGTTGAAACTTATATGCTACCAAAACAGAGCACCAGGCCGGGTGAGAAAACATCAGTTATACAAATTATGGAAGAGGCGGTGGTGCAGGAGCTTGTATGTTTTCCTACTGTCCTCATGGTCGTGGGTTCAAACCCTCGTCCATGTAGAACTTTTATGGATGGGGTGAGACATGAACGCTGGCTTGATTCTATTGTGTGAGATGGTGAAAAACAACAGCACACACCTATCACCAGGGAACATGATGATGATTGAAACAAGTCCCTGGCTCTTGGCCAAATACAAACTGACCTAGCCGACTAATCACAACACTCACCAAATGGCTCATCTCCTCTGGTATCGGCTGTATGTTGATTGGCTGAATGTGTCTGGTGACGCCATCATAGAAAATCACCTCGTACATACCTGACAAGAAACACAAACAGAGGTTTCCTACACATCAACAGAACACTGAGGGACGGAGGCATCATGGGTGACTGATGTGTGTTGAGTGATCGAGGTGTGATGAGTGATCGAGGTGTGATGAATGACTGTGGTGTGATAAGTGGTACAAGCACTGACACTGGAACCTACCATCTTCCATCAGTCTGCTGATCTTGGCCGGGTACTTCTTGCAGTCCGTCCACTTGGCCAACACTTTGTCACCAGCTCTGTAGATCTGTTCCCACAGACACAACCACAGAAATAACTGTTAACCTGCATGTGTCTGTACCACTGTATCAATCACTCACAGACACAACCACAGAGATAACTGTTAACCTGCATGTGTCTGTACCACTGTATCAATCATTCACAGACACAACCACAGAAATAACTGTTAAAATGCTTGTATCTGTACCATTGTAGCAATCATTCACAGACACAACCACAGAGATAACTGTTAACATGCTTGTGTCAGTACCACTGTATCAGTCATACAACATGTGTGTGTGTGTGTGTGTGTGTGTACTGTATGTACGTGTGTGTGTGTACTGTATGTACATTTGTAGCAATCATTCACAGACACAACAACAGAGACAACTGTTAACATATATGTGTGTGTACAGTCTGTCCCATTGTAGCAAATAGCCAATATATGTGTACTGTCTATACCATTGTAGGAATCATATACAGACACTATGACATTACATACAGCATAGCTCTGATCAATTAACACATGATATTCTTTGTAGTCAGTTCCCCATCCCCTCTATCTTGCTATGTGCTGACACACATACATTTGTATATCTGTGTTGCATTCAATTATTTTGTAATGTCAAAGCATGTTATCTATAATGTGTCAAAGTTCACAGTTCATAAGTCATCTCAGTGTTTATTTGAACTGCCAACTGCACCACTGACAGGCTGTCCCATAACTGCTCATGTGTTAGTGGAAATCACACCAAATTTTTACTTTCCCCTTTTAAAACTAGTAAAAAACAAGTCTGTCCCAGCAAAATCCTGAAGCTTGCACATGCAAAATAAATGCTAAAGGCACTGTCAGATGTGCCAAAACTGACAGTCCCAAACAAGAAATGTAGCTCACTGCTGATGTAAGCAGTCACTTATGAAAGCTTCTGAACGCAACTGGCCACCTACCATGTTTAGAACAATTCACAACACAGAGTAGTCATGGACACAACAGAAAACAAAAACACGCCACAAGAAATCCACAGCTCACAGTGTCATACCAAGCACTCAACTCAGCAGCTTGGCAATGAAGCTGTTTACTGTTCATACAATTGTGTATAGGGCCAACTGGATTTAATGGATATATATTCAATTATATGGATGGGTGAAGACTAGGTGGTAGGCAGGGTAAAATGTGTAAAATGTGGGTGGCAGAAAGGGTGAAATGTAAAGATGAAATATGTGAAAACTAAATTGTAGACAGGGTGAAATTTATAAAATATGGGTGGTATTCAGGGTGAAATATGTAAAATCTGGGTCGTATGCAGGATGAAATGTAACCTTGAAAGGTAAGAGTGAAATCAGTAAAAACAGACTTGTAGGCGAGGTGAAATGTGTAAAATGTAGGTGGTATGCAGGGTGAAATATAAACCTGAAGGTTAAGGGTGTGATAAGTGAAAACTGAGTTGAAGACAAGGTGAAGTGTGTAAAATCTGGGTGGTATGCAGGGTGAAATGTAAACTTGAAAGGTAAGGGTAAAATCAGTAAAAGCTGAGTTGCAGTCAGGGTGAAGTGTGTAAAATCTGGGTGGTATGCAGGGTGAAATGTAAACTTGAAAGGTAAGGGTAAAATCAGTAAAAAAAAAGCTGAGTTGCAGTCAGGGTGAAAGTGTGTAAAATCTGGGTGGATGCAGGGTGAAAATGTAAAACTTGAAAGGTAAGGGTAAAATCAGTAAAAGCTGAGTTGCAGTCAGGGTGAAGTGTGTAAAATCTGGGTGGTATGCAGGGTGAAATGTAAGCTTGAAAGTAAGGGTAAAATCAGTAAAAGCTGAGTTGCAGTCAGGGTGAAGTGTGTGGTAAAATCTGGGTGGTATGCAGGGTGAAATGTAAAACTTGAAAGGTAAGGGTAAAATCAGTAAAAGCTGAGTTGCAGTCAGGTTGAAGTGTGTAAAATCTGGGATGGTATGCAGGCTGAAATGTAAAACTTGAAAGGTAAGGGTAAAATCAGTAAAAGCTGAGTTGTCAGTCAGGGTGAAGTGTGTAAAAAATCTGGGCTGGTATGCAGGCTGATATGTAAACTTGAAAGGTAAGGGTAAAATCAGTAAAAGCTGAGTTGCAGTCAGGGTGAAGTGTGTAAAATCTGGGTGGTATGCAGGCTAAAATGTAAACTTGAAAGGTAAGGGTAAAATCAGTAAAAGCTGAGTTGCAGTCAGGGTGAAGTGTGTAAAATCTGGGTGGTATGCAGGCTGAAATGTAAACTTGAAAGGTAAGGGTAAAATCAGTAAAAGCTGAGTTGCAGTTAGGGTGAAGTGTGTAAAATCTGGGTGGTATGCAGGCTAAAATGTAAACTTGAAAGGTAAGGGTAAAATCAGTAAAAGCTGAGTGACAGTCAGGGTGAAGTGTGTAAAATCTGGGTGAAATGTCTGAATGCCCAAGTCTTTATCCTCTTAAATGAGGCGTGTTCGGTTGTTTCCATTTGCATTCAGAGATTACGGCCCTTCAGTAAATTTGTATCAAGCTACCTGTCTGTGCTCCTTCACTGTTGCTCATTTATTACTAAACATCATCAGCATCATGCAGGGCTCACAATCTATTCCTCTATTGCACTCTATCCTGAGCAACTGTTTTAATATCATAAATGGAATCCAGTTCAGCCCCCAGGGCCTCTCTTGTCAATGTTGTCCTAATGGAATCCAGTTCAGCCCCCGTGGCCTCTCTTGTCAATGTTCTCCTAATGGAATCCAGTTCAGCCCCCAGGCCTCAGGAAAAATATGTCAAGTTCTCCTAATGGAATCTTTTAGACGTCCTCATTCCCAATCAATTTTATTTGCATTTAAGTGTCTGTCTGGTAATTTTCAGTTTGCATTCTTCCTGTAATAGTGCCCAAACACATTGTCACCTTCTTTGTTTTACAAAATGTTTGATATCATGGGGTTGTCTATTGCCTTGTTGCTTTTTCTAAAACATTAAACAACTTCTCAAATACTAATTTAAAAAATTATTGCAAAACACTGAATAAAAGGTGAAATAAAAAGACATAATTATCGTATAACTAAAATACTACAAACTTCTAATATGAATGAAAAAAAAAAAAAAGTTACAGAAAAATATTTATATTATAATTGAACAATGTGGGCATAGAAATATACAGACATGCTGCAGAAACTGGGGAAAAGCAGACATGAGGTGCAGACATTAGTAAATATCTAATCTTAGACATGAAGAGACAGAGAACATCTGATTCAAACACAATGTACACAGACTGTAAACCCAGTGATTAGACTGCAGCAAGGACACTCAGGACAAGGCTATATATTCTCTCTCTCTCTCAAAAGTGGAGTAGAAATTGGTTCTAGCAGCAGTGTTCTGATTGCTAATACATCCATGTGACCCAATCTCGCGATTAGTTTCTTCTAGTCCGGATGTGAACCAGATGTCTCAACCAGCTGAGATATAACTGTGTATGCTCGCCGTGTGCTATTTCACAACAAAACAACAGCCTTAGTCTAGGGGATATCCATGCCAGGTACAACGGACCAAAACGTGATCATGTGACGGAATTAACAACACAACAAATGACACAGTAAATTCCCTAGTAAAACATACTCGAGGGTAATAGTCAAAACAAGATAGGGAAAGGTAAAGAATAACACAAGTGGGGGCATAACATTAAGAGATGCACAACAACAATCTCAGAGAGTGTACAATCAGAACAAGAGACAGAGTGTGTTGGAGATCCATTACACCCAGCCTGGATCGTGGAGATGGCACCTGATTGACTGAAACCAAAAGATTCAGCCTTGAGCGTGGAGATGGCACCTGATTGACTTCTTCTTCTTTCGTTCGCCTGAAATAAGTTATCTATATCAGCAGTTTTGTCTCTTGTATAAATTTCACTGTCGTTGTTAGTTCATTCAGTGGTCCATAGAGTTTACGTTCCACTGTTGTTCTTTCTGGCCAAAAGGTTTGCCTTAATGTGTCAAAATCGGTGCAGTCCTGGAGTACATGATCTGCGGTCTGGGTCACATTTCCACAGGTGCACATGGCTGATACCACCTATCTTGAATTTTGTGTACATGTGGTTACTTAGATCGGTTGTACCCTGTTCTGAGGCGGAGGATAATGACTTGTTTCTGGTCTGTCCATAATAAAAAATAGTCCGTCTTGTCTGGGGCTGTTGTTTCCTGATCGATTTAATGATTCTTTTCTTTTGGTATGTGACTGGTACATCTGGCTGACTCTTTTTTCGCACCTTCCCCTGCCAGTTGATCAGCTTTCTCATTTCCAGCACTCCACAATGAGACGGTATCCACTGCATTACGACTCTTCGCTGAGCGCTGAGTTGTGTCAGCAGTGTTTGCAATTCTGGTAGTTTCCTAAACTGGAGTGCTTCAAGTACTGATTTAGCATCTGTGAGCATTACCACATACTGTAAGCCAAGGTTGGTATTTAGCAGTTTCTCTGTAGCTATCTTAATAGCCTGGGTTTCTGCATCAACCTGATTGACTGAAACCAAAAGATTCAGATACACAAGGCATGAAAGCGTGAAAGAACAATTTCCGTAGGAGAATTGTAACAATAAACTTAATCAGCCAGAGATCTGTGTTCAAGCGATCCTGCCGGCGCCCTTTTTCAACAGATTAGGTCACAGTTAATTAAATGGGGGAAAAGACCAAGTACATATATTTTATAGATTTTAACAAATTTTACACAATAATACAGCACACACACAAAAAAGTGAATATGTCATCTAATTAAGATAAATATTATCATGATCGATATTAGAGTGAACATGATTAAGCATTCCCCCCCCCCCCCCCCCCCCCCCCTCTCTCATTTGGTGTTATATCACAAGTAGGTAGATATCTTACAGAAAACTTACCGGTGTGAAAAATGACACACAAAAGTCGTCTACAATCAATACAAACCCAAGGGTGCAGGTCAGAAATAAAATGCCACAGCAAAAGCAGGAGATGATTATGCAGGTCTACGGGCCCAACAATCATGCCGTGACAGCCAGCTGTGACAACAAATGTGACAGTGTAAATGTAACTCACGTAAGGGAGATCACTCACTGGATGAGGATGAATACGCCGTTTTTTAACGCCCTTGTCTTTCCGATCCGAATGACGAGTGACTGGTCTCAGTTTGTCACTATCCATCGGCACCCATTCGTCGTAGCGCTGGTTCCAGCCCTCAAAGTGAATCAAGACATACTTGGCTTCCTCATCAATGTCCACAATTTTGGAGGGGTACCTGAAACAGACAAACAATCAGCACGGAACAATGTCAGAACATACTGCAGTGTGAGAGGTCGTATTCTTAACCCTACGTCCTTTTTAGGACATAATTTTTTGTTATTTGAAGCCCCACTCTGACTTTTGCCAGGGGCCGCAATATAGGCAGGCCATTAGTATGGCCAATTGTCTGAACGCGGTTTCTGAGACCTCTCCACTGTGATCCTCACCCACATGGTGGCACTTTGTGTCATCGGGTGTTTATCCCTTGTGTGATGTCCTGGTGGGGTAGAAAGTCAGTCAACGTGAGAGGTCTGAGAGAGAGAGAGAGAGAGAGAGGTGTGTGCATTGAGGATGTTTTACTCACTGTTTTCCCATGGGGGTTCCGGGGCCCTACTCGGAGTGGGTGGGGTAAGAACAGATCCTCAGTGAAGGAAACTGCATGTTGTGAATGATGACAAATGAAAAATGTGTTGAAATAGATGTGATGGGCCGAAAGATGCAGATATCACAGCCTAGATGAAATCAACAACACAATGTGCCTACGGCCCTACAGATGCAGAAGAATTATTTCAAAAGTACAGCTGTGGCTGTGTGTGGTACATACACAACACAATGTATGTATCAGCGACATCCGACTACCTCACACACTACAGCTTTGTGCTGCACCTTATTCGTTTTCGTTTTTTTACTATTATTTTCTCCAAGTAAAACATCCATTTCCTAGATGGTGATGAGAGACTGTTAGGGTTCACTAATGTTGTGTTCTCGTACTATAGACTGCTATTTTGTGTGTGTTTCCAAAGCAGGATGCAATGTGTCGTTCATGGGAGAAGAGTGTATAACGGTTGTGTTACGATGGGGTGAAATGATGAATGGAAGAGACTACAGCCCCGACTAGCAAGCCATACTCACGTTTTGATCATGGAAATCTACTATTCAGGCAGACAAAACTTGTAAACAGGAGACTAAGCCTATCAAGAGAGCTAACTAGAACAAAGCTGTCCCCAAAAATGGAGTGTCTCAAACATTGTTGTTTTGGGAGGAACTAACAAATGTAGTTAATTCAATGGCCAGACCAGCTCCCAGTGGAGCATAGCGCTCGACCAAGGGATGGATGTATAGGTGTATAAATGGATGTGCCGGCAAGCAAAAAAGAAGGCAAGCAAATAGACAAGTGGATGCTGGATACAAAAATTAAAAACCCAACACAGAAAGATAAAAAAGCATCATGCAGAAAGGACATATCATTTATAGAGTTAGGAAGTTACAAGCTAATAGAGTTGAGTACAAACACGCAGGTCTTCTTCTTCTTCTTCTTGTGTTCGCTTTCTGATTTACACCGACAGACAGGTTCTTGTGATAAACTTGACTGTTTTAATGAGTTCATTTTTAGTCCCATACAACTTTGTGTACAGTGGTGACTCACTGGGCCAGTATTCCTTTCTTAATGGGCTGAACAAGGGACAGTCTTGCAGGACATGTTCTGTAGTCTGCACACATAGCCCACAATGGCAAAAAGGTGAACTACTTAGACGAAGCCTGTGCATATGCTGGTTAAGTTTGTTATGTCCTGTCCTGAGACGTAGGACAATGACCTGCCCATGCCGGTCAAGTAAGTGGTAGTCATCTCTGGCCAGACTCTGTTCACTTCTGATAGCCTGGATGGCCCTTTTCTTCTCATAGTATGTTACTGCATTCTCTTCTTGGTCACATTCTGCCCCTTTTTTTAGCAAGTTTATCTGCGGTTTCGTTTCCTGGTATACCACAGTGGGATGGCACCCACTGGAGTACAGTACACTTTTGGGCAGCCACCTTGCCAAGTTTAGATCTCAAGTGAGGGAGTTTGCCCACTCTTGAGGGCTTGAAGCACTGAAAGCGCATCTGTGAATATAACCACTTGGTGGCAGTCAGAACTGGTGTTGTGTAACATTTCGGCAGCCTGCTCTAGTGCTACAATCTCTGCTGTGTAGTTGGAACAGAATTTACCAGTGGGTATCCACTTTGTGTGGCGGTGGTTGCCTGGGTATGTAATAAAGACTCCAGCACCCCCATTTTTAACCGCACTGGTTGCTGATCCATCTGTGTAAATATGTATCCATGACTGTTCGGGATAGTTTTCATGAATCATGCTAAGAGCAGCTGTTCGTTTTTGAAGATCATTGGACTCATCTCCAGTTGTGAATCCATTGACTGAAGTCATTATCTGTATTGTATCACTGACTTGCTCCCAAGGTACAGGGTATAGGGTAGGTTTCAGCGGTGTTGTTCTAATAGGTAGATCAGCTTGGTACTGTCTTCTAAGTCTTTTCCCCCCGATGGACAAAGCTGCTACGTTTGAGACGCCCTAATGCCAGATCATCTAACCTTTTATTCATTGGGTGTGACTGCATACTATTAAACTTCTCCATCTGGATCATAGTTTTAGTGTCTCTTCTATAGGACAATGTCTGCATTGCAGTTATTTTCTGCATCTTCAGGATTGGTGCAGTTTTCATGGATCCTGTGATGAGTCTAAGAGCTTGATTTTGCACTCTGTCTAACGATTGTAGGTGGGAATTAGCAGCTGTTGACCATGCTGTTGCACCAAACTCCAAGTGGGGTCTTATCGCTCCATTATAAACTTTCTTTAGGGTTTTTCCATTTGCTCCCCATCCTGTACCTGCCAATTTTCTAAGTAGGCCTAGTCGTCTCCTGGCCTTCCCTTCTACATTTTCTATATGTTTGCTCCATGTGAGCCTTTTATCAAATGTTACTCCAAGATAAGTGGGGAAGCTTTCTTCCTTTAGCAAGGATGTTCCTAGGTGAATACTAGCAGCTTTGTCCCTGGTGGAAAAGAGAGAAAAGCGTTGTGGATGTTTTGTCTGTGTTGATGGCAACATGCCATTTTTCTGCCCATGTCATCAAGAGATCTGCTGCTCGCTGCATTCTTATATTTGCCACTGTGGTGTGTTCATCGGTACACCAGAGTGCCAGATCATCTGCATACAGGGCAGCTTTTACTCCTGTAGGGAGGTCTTTCACCAGATCATTTATATACACAAGAAAGAGAGTTGGAGAGATAACTCCTCCCTGTGGTACTCCTTGCCGAAGTAACACTTTTCTACTCTGCTGGCCATCAAGACTGACTCTAGTTCTTCTGCTGTGTAAGAAGGATTGGATCCATTTTAGCATGTTTCCTTGGATTCCATTTCTCTTCAGTTTTGCAATGAGACCATCTTTCCAGACTTTGTCAAAAGCTTGTTTGAAGTCAACCCATACCGCCAGGACCTTTTTCTTCTCTTGGAAGGCATCCTCTACAGCTTGTGACAGGTAGGTGACTTGATCTTCTATGCTGTGACATTCCCTAAACCCAGCCTGCTCTGGCACCAAGATCTGCTCAGATTCTAAGTGCCATTTCAGTCTTGAATTTACAATTCTTTCAGATGTCTTTCCTACACAGCTTGTGAGACTAATTGGGCGATAGCTCGAAGCCTGTGTCTTAATTTTTCCTTTTTTTAAAATGGGTATTGTGTTGGCTTCTCTCCATACTTGAGGCACTAAACCTTTCTCCCAGCTGATGTTGAAAATTTCCAGCAGCTTTACTTTAGCAGATGAGGTCAGGTTGATTAGCATTTCGTTGCTGATTTCATCCGGACCTGCAGACTTTTTTAACTTAAGCCTAAAGATGGCATTTTGTAGTTCACCCATGGTAAATGGCTCCCTCATAGAGGCAGGAGTATCTGTCTGTCTCTTATTTGTTTGTTTGCTTGTTTGTATTTCTTTCCTTATTTCTCTCTGATGGTCCTCATTAAGGGTCAGGTTGCTTTCAACACTGAATGTTTTGGCAAACAAATCTGCAGCTTGTTTTCCTCTGAAGATTTTGTCACCATCACTTAGCGTGATTGTTTGTCTAGGCGAGAAACTCTCTTCATTGAGTGATTTGGCTAATCTCCAGAGTTTCTTGCCATCTTTATCAAGGTTTAGAGCTGCTGTTTTATTTCTCCAGCTTTTCCGTTTTTCTTCAAGTTTAGTTCTCTGGAACACTGCTACAGCCCTTTTCCATTTGATGTGGTTGTCAGGTGAAGGTTGGGATTCTGCATCCTTTCTAGTCTGATTCATTGTTTCCTGGCATTCCTGGAGTGTGCTGGACCAGTACGGTCTATAGTTGTGTCGACAGCCTCTGGGGATTGCTTCTTCTTTTGCAGCTTGTAGAATACTTCTATTGAAATCGTGCACTATAGCATTGATATCCCTATTTTGTACCTTGAGAGCAGACAACAATGTGCTTGTCCTGTGTCTGTACAGGCCCCAGTTGGCTTTCTTGTAGTTCCATCTTGTGATGACTGGGCCTGTATTAACTGGTACATTCTGGACAGTGAGAAAAATCGGGCGATGGTCACTGCCCCCAAGCTGGTCTCCCACCTCTCTACTTATCATTCCAGATATATCTGGGGTAGAGAAGGCAAGATCTGGGGTCGACGTTGTCTGCCACCTTCTGGAGTAGAAGGTAGGCGTATCTGAGGGGGCATTTATCAGGATCAGAGAGTGGTCATCTTGCCATGTTTCCACCTCTTCACCCCTATTGTCGAGATGGTTATAGCCCCAGCTCTGTGAATGACTGTTGAAGTCTCCAACTGCAATAAAAGTTGGTGTTTGGTACTGGCACAGAGCTGAGGTTTAGCGATTTGTCATTGGGACAGTAGTAATTAAGGAGTTCTAATTCCACTTTGTCTGTCTTAAGCTGCAGGAGTTGGTACTCAGCTCCATCCATATAAGACATTTTCTCGCATGGATGGATACTGTTTTTTCACAAGGGTGAGTACTCCTCCTTTTCGCCTGCCTTGTCTGTCAGATCTGAAGCACTGGTAGCCTCTCACTTTAAATATCTGATCTGCCTGCAAATGGGTCTCTTGGATGCAGCATACACTGACATGCTTTTCATAGAGGATGTTTTCCAGCTCCAACTTTTTGCTGTAGCCAGCCTGCTTACTGCTGACCCCCTCTGCATTCCAGTGCATAATGACAAAAGGCAATTTGGGATCTTTTCTGTCTAACTGGTTTTGGTCAGTAGCTATCCTCCGCCGTCTCCTGACTCCACAAGACGGTCTAGGAGGTCCTCCAGTAGCTGGGGGTGGATTCTGTCGAGGCTCAGAACCCGGCACTGCACCTGCCTGGTGGAGTTCCACAGGCGAGCACCAACATTAAATTTGTCTGACGGTGTAAACATATATATAGCGTGGGGTTGCGTAGTACTGTGGTTTTTGATCCGCCTTCTGGCCCAGTATTTCCGACTTCAGGATCTCTTGGGAGGGAGAGTAGGCTCATCCCTTCGCCTTTACCTCGTTTGTTGTCCCATCCAGTTTCCCGCTGGGGGTTAAGACCCCAACCTTCAACTGGATTGCTGGGAAGAACAGGGTCCACCACGTGAAGGTGAGGTAGGCTTGAGCAAGAGAGGCTAATAGACATTAAGAGTCTTGTATTGCGCATCATTGCTCCATTTGGACCCCACGCAGGTCTCACACAAGGAACAGATCTCACTCAGGGAAACAGATCCCACACAGGGAAACAGATCTTACCAGGTGCGGGAAAAATCCATGGCTTCCAGTTTCTCCCCTTTCTGCCAGGTGATGCCAACTCTGAGAGGAAACCTGGGAGGGAGGACACGTGGAGTAGCTGGCGATGCCATGCTGGTCGACGCTGCAGACGAGGAACCAGGAACTGGTCCACAGCTGGTCACAGGTGAGGGGACTGAACTCACTGTGCTTGTCTCCAAATCTAGGAAAAGGTTAAAGTTTAGTTAAAGGTTAAAGTCGAGAGGATTTAATTGCCTGCATCGGGCTTTATACCAAAAGAATCTAGGGCAGATTTGGGCTGGCTCATCAGATCGTGTTCCAGCTATTTGCCTCACGGTCAGAAGGTCATGGGTTTGTTTCATGGGAGCAGCATTCAGTTCAAGAAGGCAAATTTTATGGAGATCGCTGGGATTGTCACAAGAGCTACAGAGTTTGTACTTTGTGCAATGCTCTCGGCAGGCTGAGTTTTGTGGAGAGAGACGAGCCATATGGGATAAAAGCCAGTGCCCTGAAGTCAATCCTCTCACTTATAACCTAGGGAAGAAGGATCTGTAAAGATTTATATCAATTAGAAAACAATTGTAAATAACCAGAAAAAAAATATATTATAGATCGTCCTTGTTTCCTACAAATGGGAGACAAGTTTCTGCGACCCAATATTCATCAAGAATGTTATCAATACTAGCATAACCATTAAATCAGTTTACAGGTGGGCTTATCAAATTGTGGCAAAATGTCTTACAAATTCTAAAGTATTTGGCCACATGCCGAAGAAAACATTGCCAAGTGAGGGATTTTTTTGTTTTTGTTTTTTGTTTTGTTAAATTAGGCAATCCATTGCCCATTCAACATCATCCTCTTGTGCCATTTATGTGTCCACAAAAGGTCTGTAATTAAATCCTATATTATTATTATTCTTCACGTTCACCAGCTGGCGGAAAGTTCTGGTTATTCGTCCACTCAGATCTGACTCAGCTGTATATAGACAGCTAGTTCCTTGCCTCTCAGGGAGATGCACTCTGATTTTGAAGAAACCTCCCAATTAGTCGATTCTTACGACATACTTTTGGGTAGGCAGTGGGTCTATTCTAATTTTCCCTATAAGAGGGCCCCGGAAACCACACAGGGAAATCCTCTATTCTATTCTTTTCCCTAATTTGTGCACCTTAAAAAACATAAAGTTTGCGCTGACAAAAGACAGAAATATTAGACATGGCTGAAATCAATGTTCAGTGAGATGATGGCTTTTCACCGAGGTCAGGTGACTCACCTGTCGCTTTTCGATTTCCTTTCTTTGCTGAGCTTAAAGAAGACATTGTTTGTTGCTGCCCACTGTCCTCAACATCCTGACAGGAAATAGACATTCTAGTTTATCGCTGGAAATAAGCAAAGTATTCTCATACTCTTATGAGGCTAACCTCCGAATAACGGTCCCAAATTATGGAGGCCGAAAATATACCCTAACAGGGCCTCAGTCACATGTAAAATGCGGACCTCTTCCGGCGACTACACAGAATACCGCAAAAAAGCTTCCGCTGAGTTGAAGTCACTGCCGAGAGTATCTCCCGCGCCGCTACGTGCGGCGGGGAGCGGGGCTAAACTAGATGGCTGGGACTCACGAGCAGCAGCTACCCCATCTCATGCAGCTTCTTCCATTTTATTTGCTCGTGAATCCCAGCCATCTAGTTTAGTCCCCGCTCCAAGCCGCGCAGAGCGGTGTGAAAGTTAATCTCGGCAGGATGCTGTGTAGTCGCCGGAAGAGGTCCACAATTTACATGTTATGAGACTCTGTTAGGGTATTTTTTCGGCCTCCATAATTTGGGACCGTTATTAGGAGGATAGCCCTCGTATGATATCGTTAAAATATATTATTACAGTTTTACTGAAAATGTTTATGCTGCTCAGAAACATCACCATGAAAAAGGGCTGGAGGGGTGGGGGGTGGGGTGGGGGGGGGTGGGGGGTGGGACGATCAGGTCCTTAAGTGCTCCAAAACAAAACCAAAATCAGTGGTGGAAGGGGGAGGAGGGAGGGGAGGCTGAGGCTCCAACCCAATAATTTTGTAAAGGGGCTAAGAATTTTGGCCCTTTTTCGAATACCTGTCCCAAATTATTCACTGCGAAAAACAACCCTTTGAGAGCCTTAAGCAGTTATGTATTAAAAACATTTAGGCAATCAAAAACATTGAGGTCATCATCATCAGTGTCCAATGCTACCGTTATTGCTCGATAGCAATGTTTAGACATTAAGCTAAGCGCCGTGGGGAGGAATAATTTTTGATCCATTGAAACGGCGTGTGGAAGAACAGATTTTGAGCCATAGTTTGTGGGGGTAGTTTTTGATCCATTAAAGCATTGTGGGGAGGAATAGTTTTTGATCCAATGTTACCATTACCCATTACTCGCCTTGTGGGTTCCAGGGGCACTTGTCTGAGGGGGAAAAGAAAGAATAGATCCACTGCCACCTAATATGCATGCTGCAAAAAGGCAACTACTTTGCTGAAATCAGATGTGTTCGGGGAAAAGGGTGGATATTGCAGCCTTGCTGTAAACCACAACACAATGTGCCAACCGCCCGTTCAAGGGTGAAAGAAAAAGAAAGTTTACCAACCCATGACATGACCATTGAGCATCTTGTCGCCGCTATCGCAGCCTAGCTGTAAACTACAAGACCAAGCAGAATGCGCAGATATTGCAGCCAAGCTAAAAACTTACAAATTAACATGCCAACCGTCCTTCTAATGGCTGAAAATTTTTTTTAAATTTATCACCCGGGCGGGGAATCAAACACTGGTCACCCATGTGACAGGCGGAATTCTTACAACTGTACTACTGAAGACTCAAGAGTTTATCTCAGATTAAATTATATAATAACACGAAGCATAGTTCGTAGTGATCCTGTTATATATTTTTAACTGTGACTTCTTGAGACCCTGAATGGGGGGGGGGGTTGAGCCACCTAAAATATTGTAGTGGGGGGGATGTGAGCTTCACACTAATGCTGGCTTCAGCGCACCAACTGATGAAAATTTTGGCTATCCTCCGAATAACGGGCACAAAATATGGCGGCTGCAAAAACATCCTAACAGAGCCTCAGTCACGCTGGGACTCACGAGCAGCAGCTTCCGCATCTCCTGCAGCTTTGCTCGTTGAGTCCTAGCCATCTAGTTTAGCCCCAATCCACACCACGTGAGCGGCGTGGGGGACACTCTTGGCAGTTTTGGTAGTGGCCGGCCGAAAACCGCTTGGTCGTGTCCCCAATATCTGAGGTTGTTTTTGGCTCCCTTTACGCTGCGGGGCCCAAATCTGGTTTTTTTCAAACTGAAATACTTTTGTGTGTGGGTGTTTATCGTTGTTCCCGACTGAAAGCTTTAATGACCGATAAAGGTTTGCGTGGTTAGGGGCTGGAGGGTTAGTCGTTAGTGCAGTAGGATTAGGGGGCCGCATTGAGGGGGTAGGGTTAAGAGTAATGGGTAGCGTGAGTCGGTTAGGGTTGCAGGGTTTTGTGTAGCGTTAGGGACGCTAGGGTTAGGGGGGTTTTTTTTTTTTTTTTTTTTGTGTTTTGCCGATCTGTATGCTTTAATGACCGATACATTTGCGTGGTTAGCGGTAGGATTAGGGGTTAGGGTTAGGGTTATGGGTAGCGTTAGGGTTACGGTTAGGGGTAGGGTTAGGGGTAGGGTAACGGTTAGGGGTAAGGTTAGGGTTAGGTTTAGCGTTAGATGTGACAATTTTGACGCCGTAGTTCCCTATAATCGTGCACAGTCACATACACACCCAAACAGTAGACGGACGGTGGATGCTACTGACACGGACAATTCGCCACCGATTGGGCACCAGCTGCGCGCTATTGCCCTCATATTTGGCACACTTCCAGTGGCGCCACTCCCACAAGCATCAGATTGTCACCCAGTATTTGGAAGTTCTACGTCACCATTTTCACATCTAACCCTACCCCTAACCCTAACCCTACGCAACCCTACATGCAACCGTATGATGATGATGATAGACACCCTAAGCAGCCCTAAACGCAACCGTATGATGATAGGTAACCCTAGACGCAACCGTATGATGACTACGCAACCCTACACGCAACTGTACGCAACCCTACACGCACCCGGATGATGATAGGTAAGTATGTCATTTGATTCGTGACTTTTCCACTCGTTGTTGTCAATGGGGCCAAGGGAGAGAACTCTCACTAAGCCGACCTAAGCCGTCCAGCTTGCGTCCAAAGGTGCAAGGAGAGCCAAAGGTTTCTCATAATCCATTCCATTGTTGTTATGTTATGAATTGAATTAATAAAGAATATTATTTTTATTAATATAGTATAAGTATTAATTAGACTGACAAATAAAGTACCAAGAGAAACAATTACAAACAATCTCATTGGGGCGGGGGCGAATCAGACATGCAAGAGACGAGACAATTAAATTACAGTTACACTATCACAATTGAATTGAATTGTCTGAGTGTTTTCCAAAGTTAAATTTAATTAAACCGATTAAACGTAACATAACAAAGTAGCGCTGAAGGAAAGGCGATGATAAATGGAATAGGATAGTTCATCAACTTTGCTAATTTATACTAGAATGCTCTAACTTATATTTCAAGCTCAGCAACTAGAATCGTGTACAGAACTGTCAGAATACAATTATATTTAATTATTGACTGCAGCTTGCCTTTATTTTGCTTTCCTGGTCCGCCATTTTGATTTATTAAAAAGTTAGAAATTTAACGGATTAAATGGCATTGATTGCATCGAGTCCCTGCATTATTTGATGTTCTGTGCCTTAACATTAATACAGATTCGGATATAAATCTAACTGTTAGCTCAAGAAATTTGCCACAAACTAATACATGCCAGTACCATGTTTAGGACCACAAAGTAGTTGGACGTTAGCGCTAATGTTCCCTGGTATTGGGAGTTGGAAGTATAGATTTGCTGAAGGAAAAGGGTGAAAAAATTCAAATGCACAAGACGAACACAAACAGAGAAAATAGTTGAAACTGTCAAAACCCTCTTATATGTGTAGATTACATCAAATATAATAGAGCGAAAATGTTCGAGGATGTAAAAATTGACGAGAAAGATCTCAGGACTTTACAGTTTCTGGAACCAAGAAGCAATACGAAGAAATAAATGAGAAGATTAGAACATATAAACCAAATGATAGGACACAAATATGGTAACTATTGTCATCCTATCTCACCCATCTCTCTCTCTCTCTCTCTCTCTCTCTCTCTCTCTCTCTCTCTCTCTCCCCCCCCCCTATCTACCACACACACCCCCAAACCTTCCTAGTGAAATAACAATGAGAGAGAAAAAGACAGACCAGCAATAGGAAATGGAGGAAATATATTATACAAACTGTGTTGATAACCGATACACGTAAAATATCTGCAACAATGGTGGAATCACCGTAGTGATGAAAAATGCACAGACAAAACAAAGAAAGAAAGAAAAAGGACAATGAATAAATGTATGAGAACTTCTGTTGGAAAAGTCTACAGCGGCTGTGTGGCCGTGAAGAGTGTCAGATTTTTCGTAAGCCTTGAATTCTAGGATTCATTTCCCTGTGTGGACGGTTAAAACCCCCTTATCGGGATTTTCGGTCAGTAGTACGAGAGCCACACCCTAGAAGTGACTGGGGAGCTCCTCAAAGACTGCAGTGGGTACACTGTAGCCAACTTCAGTTGTGGAGACGGCACACAACGTCCTCTTGAACATCAAGAAGACCAGGAACAATCTGCAGGGACTGGCCAGCTTTCGCTTTCAGAATCAGAAGTTCAACAAACGATTCACTACAATTCCCGTCCAGGTGATGTGATTATCTCTATACAGGTAACTTTGTGTTGAGAGGCGGAAAAAAGTACATAAGATTCATAGTAAAAACAAATGGACGCCTGGTGTATGACACAACAGCATTTAGCTTGGGAATGGGTGTGGAGGCAGTCAGTGCAGCCTTCTGCCGGTTTGATAACTAGCTGCTCACATACGTCGTGATTGTAACCGACTCACAGAGCATATCGAGAAACGTGGAATCGGATATGTTCCCTCCATAATGGCAAATATCGCTTTAGAGGTGCCGAATGGTTAGCGAGAAATAATCTGTGGACATCCCATCCATGGGGATGCTGATGTGTTAGGAAATGAATATGCGGACAGATTAGCTGGTTGTGCACCACTTGGTGATAAACTGATGTGTTAGGAAATGAATATGCGGACAGACTAGCTGGCAGGTTGTGCACCACTTGGCGATAAACTGATGTGTTAGGAAATGAATATGCAGACTGGCTGGCTGGTTGTGAACCAC